TAATGTTTGAATGCCGTGTTTGGATTCTATGTCTTCTATATCTAAATAAACACATGCTCAACTCTCGTGAATAAGATTGTGTTTATTTTAACACAGACATATGGAAAGCACTATGTATCCTATGATTTGAACGCATAAATAAATAATGATGAATCATGGGAGCCGAACTGTTAGAGGACGGCTTCACACATATGGAAGGAAGGAATGCAGGATTCAACCCTGAGTTGTTGTACTGGAATTGACATGTTGGTGTGATCTGCAATCTTTCACTGGTAGGGAAATGCCAGTGAACAAAGGAGGAGGAACTCCTGCCGTCATGAATGGAAAAGTTATGCAATAGGAATATAAGGGTTCCCAGAGCCACGAGGGACCCAAATTGTCCTTTGGAATGATAAAAAAAATTATTCATAAAGGGGGAGGGCATAGCTCAGAGGTAGAGTGTGTGCTTAGCATCCATGAGGTTCTGGGTTCAATCCCCAGTACTGCCACTTAAAAAATAAATAAATAAACCTAGTTTACCACCCTCCCCACCCCCGAAATATATATTATATATATTCATAAAATGACATAAGATAAAACAACAAAGGGAGAAATGCAGTCTTAACCACTTTTAAATAAAACCCACAGTGGCTCTGAGTTACAGTTCTGGGGACAAACAATTTCACATGGCCCGAGAAGTATTCACCCTTATCCCTGTAACAGTGGCGGCCAGCATCCAAGCCAGTGCTGGCTGATGAGCGGTCACTGGAGGCTTCACAGAGCCCAGAAGACAAACCCCTCCTCGAGATAGGGAGCTACTGGAAACAGAGTTCCCAAGCAGCAGGATCCTGAGAATCCTAGATCTGTGAATTCCAGTGTAGAGAAAAAAATGTGACAATGAGTGCGCATATGTCCATTAATGACTGAAAAATTGTGCTGAACACTGGAATTTGACACAACATTGTAAAATGATTATAAATCAATAAAAAATGTTTAAAAAAATCCAGTGTAGAGCAGAATTTTTCAGTTATACATGAACATACATATATTCATTGTCACATTTTTTTTTCCGCTGTGAGCTACCACAAGATCTTCTATATATTTTCCTGTGCTATACAATATAATCTTGTTTATCTATTCTTTTGATCTGTATATAGACTTTAAACGTTATCGGATACAGAGTTCTTTGAAATTGAGATGTTTTTCCTCTTTCTTGATTAAGTGAAATAATACATGCAAGATACGTAGGAGGAAGAGGTATTAAGAATGTTCAATAAATTCTAACTGACTTCTCTGTTTCCCCTTAGTGCTACTGGAGTTAATTAGAAAATATACCTCATTCCCAGTGCTATGATGATTTTTTTTTCCATTTTTGCACTTTACCCTCACAACAGTCCTTTGTCTGCATTTTGCAGATGAGTAAATAGGGACAGGAGGATTCAGGACCTTGTCCAGATATAAACAGTCAGCAAACACCAATGCACGGACTCGACCCAGATATCACCTGACCAGTGCCTCACGCGTTTGTGCACTACACAATGCTGCTTTCTGATCTGGACTAAAATTAGTTGACAGTTCGGATTTTCAAAAAATCTATTCAGACTGAGCATTTAATTAGAAAGAAATAAGTGTTTATACATAGTCTTAGATTATTTGTTCTATATTCATGGAGATGTGTTTGTTCTTGACAATGTGACACTTAAGGCTTGTAGTTCAATGGTAGGCATCAAATGCTTCCTTATAGTTCCATAAAATTACATTATAACTCAGTTCTGTTGACTTCCATCTCTATTATCTTAAAGCCTTGTTCTGAAGTTATTAAGAAAAGGTGCCAAGAAGTAAATTAACCCTTGAAGAGAACTGACTGGGCTAGGGTGTGAGGGGGCGTTCTGGAGTCCTGGTACCCACATATGTAAAAATGAAATTGGCACTATACCCTTCCCATTTTGTGCATTTATTGTATAGAAGTTATGCTTCAATTAAAAAAAAATAACAGAAAAGAAGGAAGGAAAGGAGAAAAAAAAAGGAAAAGTCAAGAAGAGAAGAGAAAATAGATTACTATGCTGTGACATGGAGCACAGGTTTGGGAAGAAAATCAGGTGCTCAGCGTGGGGCATGTTCTAAGGGGAGACATGGAGTGGCAGCTGAACGGATGAGTCTGGGGTTCGTTCTAGAAGAGAAATACACATTTGGGAATCATCGCTGTAAAGATGACCCCTGAAATCATGATATCAGATTCGATTCCTAGGAAGTGGGTGAGGGAATGTGCTAAATCCCAGAAATCAGAGAGACAGACTACTGTGTGACTCCTACTTTTCTTTCTATCAAAGAAATGCATCTTTAAACTCTCTATGCCAGTGCAGTTACCTGAAGGAGGGAAAGAAGAGTTCAGTCTGTAAGAGCCGGTGATAAATCATCCAGATGCTTGGGGGATAGCGAAAAGCTTTTCAAAGCGATCACAAAATCACTGTCAGTTAATCACTATCAGTTAACCCGAAAAAGGATGAGGAAGGAGAGCCATGTAAGGTGGTTGACATGACAAAGGAGGGAAGGAACTAAAAAAAAAATCTTCAAAGTTTGAAATTAACCTGTAAGGCAATTCCTACCATTTAAAATATTTTTATTTTACACTTTAGCATTCTTGGACCACGGCTCCATATATAAAAGTGAGTAATACAGTGAGGTAGCACCTCATA